AGTTGGTTCTGGTTTTGGTAAGAATGATACGGTGTTTGTGTGATGGCAGGAGATATTTCGTCTTGCCCTCGTTCACTACCAGACCCATATCCTTCGCTTCTTTATCCAGTCTGGCGAAAGTAGAACTCCCTGCGCGGTTGTTGCGACCAATATGTCAATATCAACGGCGCAGACTCAGCTTTTCTGCTTTTTTTTCTTCAGCATTAAATTGGAGAAATCGCACGTCAAAGAGTCATTCTGTTTAAAACCTCGTTGAATATTGTACTGCTCGGAGAGGTTCTTTCCGAACTTGACGGAGCTTTAAGTGTTGCTTAAGCCACTCTCATTAGGTCCAATGAGTTTGTTCACGGTGGGCTTTAGTATTTCACAAAATTCGATCGACTGGACCTTGTATGCGATATTAAGCAGGCTTATTCCACTTTAATTGTTGTAGACTGTTTTTGGATTGGGCAGAGCACACTTAAATTCCATCCGTTGGGCATTCTTACATCCGATTATATTCTGCAAAGTAACTGATTGCTCCATGTGTTTTCCGAACAACTTGTCAATGCGCAAATGTCAGTACTAAACAATGACAGAGGTTGTGTTCAATAGACTATTCCCGTTTTTCGCGTTCAATATGATTTGAGTGGTTGCTCACTCTTCTCCCTTGAGGCCCCATTAAACAGTTTTCTGCTATTACGCCTGTCATTATGTTAATGTGTAACCGGTATAGAAGTTGTTTTATATTTTCACGTCCAATTTTGGCCATAGCTGTATTTTCACAGTGTACGAGATCTCATTCAGTCATCGAGAGTATACTTTTAGCATATACTTTGCCGTGGGAAAATGCAAACCTGCATCGTGTGGATGATTCATTGTGGATAGAAGGGTTCCTTCCCTCGCTACTTCGTCTGCCATTCATTTGCTTGGGATGTCACTCTGTAGACATACACTGGACTTTCCTGAGAATTTCTCTAAGGCAAATGTGGGTGCTTCGAGTGATGAACAAGATTATCGATCCTTCAAGAAGTGTTAGCGATGAAAATTGAACAGGAGTTTTAGCAGATTATCGTTTCAGAATTAGAAGACACCTATCAGATTTCCTAAGTATTTGCTATCATTGCGTACTACCATAGTTCAAATCCTGGTACAAGCAAACGTTGTTGAAATTTAATTTGAATAATTGCGGTTGCTGCTCGGCAGAGGTTAGGGTTGTCAACCTCTCCGAACATATTTCTGACAGGAAATAAAAACGATTAGCCTTTGGAAAAAGCAACATCAGGACGCAAAAAACGAAAGACGAGGAGTAGTTCGGCCGAAAATCGCTTCAGCGGTTTCAAAGTGCCAAATATATATATATTTACATATTAATTGTATCGGTTTCTGAATCTGAATTGGATTTCTGAACCTTGAACCTTAAAAAAAGGCGTAAAAGCAGCTCACTCTTCAATGCATTTCCCTTGCTATAAGTTTTTAAATATTTTTTCAACTATTTTAAAAAAAAAAGTATATTTCTTCCTTTTGCGTTTCGTTTTAATAAACTTAAACTTTGCTCATGTGATTGGCATTTTTCATTAGAATTGCCGCTATATGCAGTATTTACAGTTAAAGACATTGAACAGCAAACTACAGAAGAAAGCAAAGCCAACAAATAGACATGTGTAGCACAAACTGGAATAGACAGTGAGCGCAAAACAATATAAGATAATAAGAGAATAATGGCAGGATGAAGGCAGCAAATATATACCAATCTTTATATGAACTAGCTAACTCTTACAGAAAAAAAACAAACAAACAAACAGCTTATACAATACAGCATTAGTGAACGCCAGCATATATAATATGCACATACATACATATGTAGCTTTATGAAAGCTTTATATAGCCAGAAAACAAGAAGAAGAATAAACAAAAGTAACTGTTCTTTCTCCATCATCAGATATTTCGACGATATTTTTTTCTTTCTGACATGTACTCGTACACACATAGATACATACATATATATATATACATATTATATACAAGTACTTGGTTTGGTCTGTTGTTAATGTAGCTTTTCTTGGCTTTGGTAACAATGGACCAACCTCTAATCCTGACTGATGTTCATAAGTCCAACATATGTTTCTTACATTTCAGGCTTCACTTGCGTTTTTGCTTTAGCTGCACCATGTCGTGGCATTGTATTATTTATTAATTTAGTTCATTTTTTCTTTCTTTTAAGCTGTGAAGCTATTCGTAACTTCATGATCTTCTATAACTTAAATTAGGGAGCGCTTTGAAAATGTTTCCAAAATATTATGTACTTTCTTAAATTTTATACGATAACCAAAGGCAGCCAGAAAGGTCTAAAAAAAATTAAATTTTAAATAAGACGATAGTCGCTTTACATTCTGAGCTGCACCAATTCAACAGGCATAATGTTGAGATTTACATTATTAGTTATACCTGAAATTAATAGCTCTTGTGTTCAAATTTCCATACACTTATGTATACATATACTAAAGAATATTATATATATATATATATATCATTCAGCAAAAATATTATATTGCATTTGTATTGCATTAGAGCTACCATCACTGAGACAGATAACACTTTGAAATTTCCTTTTAACGAAAAATATTGCAAATCCCTAGCTTGCATTTTCTGTAAAATAGTAGCTGTCGCTCACAATCATATGTGCAGCAATATACAATATATATAATACGTATGTAAGTATGTAAAATGTGCACAAGGAAGGACCGTCTCTCTCTCTATCTCTCTCTCTGTCTTTGTTTTCACTGCCACTAAACCAATATATATTTTTTAAGTCGCAATGAACTTCTTAGCTTTTAAGTCGCACATTTGTAAATAAGATTTATTCCTTAAGCTATGATTTTGTATTGCTATTTAGAATCTTAAGCGGATAGTACCATCTTTTAGTAATTTTCTAGTTTCTACTGTTTGCATGTGAAAAATTTTTAAAAACATGGAGTACTTTCACAAGCGTTAATACGTAGTATTATATTGTTCCAATTCAGCTAATATAAGGAGTGCCCTTTGTTGGCTTAACAGACAGAATAGTAAAAGTAAAGCCGATACTAGTTTACCGTACTAGGTACATCGAGTCCTTACCGCGACTAGACTGTACATTTTTACTCTCCGATAGATTTGAATAACTCATAGGAATTAAGCAAGCCACATTAGTTCCACGGCTCTTTAGGCCTAGACAGCCTCTCGAGGAAGCAACAGACCTACTCTAAGTGCAAGATAGAGCCCGAGATGATTTTCCGCAATATTTTGGGCCTTTTAACAAAACTCATCCTTAGGTCGTAATAGAAACTCTTGAAGAAAAAGAAAAAACTTCGTAGACGACAATAGCTGATGGCTCTACCCTAACAGTGACAGTCAGACACCTACAAACATTAAGTAATCAGCTTCGTATTGCTTTTAACATAGTAGCGAACTGGTGTAAGAACAGTGGGATCGATGTCAATACAGTCGTAGAGCACTCGCATGTTAAGTCAGGATCCGTTGGATCGATCCCTGCCATAAGAACTATGATGGGGAGATGTGGTGATCATCGAGACAGCTGCCACTTCTAACATTTTTTTTTGTTGTAGAACAAAAAATATTCAATTCATACAAACAAACCAGGTCTTTCGCTCACTGTAATTATAATAAATAAATTAATATCACGGCCGTAAGAACAATTAAGAAATTGTTCTACTTACCAGGAGGTACACAGCGCCTATTTTCATATACAAAAGGGCGTCAAAAGATCAACCAATCTACCGTAGTCAAATTTATGAAGATAGGCTTAGACAGCAAACTCAAGTGGAACCGAAACACAGCAGGTTATAACTGCTTTAATAAGACCGCTAACTTTTTTCAACTACCCACCTCTGTTCCTGTAAGGCGAATTGTAGCGAACTGCAGCGCAATAGATTGAATGAATCTCAACCTTGGAAGAATTGCAGTATATGATGCACTAAAATACTATCTCCACCTCCAGTATGTGTTTCGACAATTTTTTCCACAATAATCCAAAAACAGAAATGAATTGGAAAACACCAACGCCAGACAAGGAGCCGTAGCCATCTTTACAGACAGCTCAAGGCTCAATGAGAAGGTGAGCTACAGAATCAACAATGGACTATGGACTATGCGAATGGACCATTTGTGGCGCAGTCACGATCAACATTTGTATGAAATAATCTTCAAACATTTAATTAAATGGATTTTACAATCGATTCAAATAAATAATTCATGCATTTTTCTGAATTTAATGTGTTAGGTTTTTTGAAAAACTTTCCTATAGCTCTTAAAAATCACCTTAGTCAGTTTCCTTTAGTTACTTAAACTTGTATTTTCTGTTATGAAGTCGATTGCAGACTGTTCTCTAGCATTACGAGTGATTTAAAATCTTGAAAATTCTATATATTCATGTATATTTAATAAAGTTCTCAGTTCATGGCTTTCTGATGCCAAGAGAAGTACTAACACGAAATCGGGACGGGATTCCGAGCATCTAACATCGGCGGGAAAAAGAAGCTAAAAAAAGTAGAATCGACATTGGATAAAAAGCCTCTAACGCAAAAATGCAGATAAAAAATGTCAAAACTCATGAATGCGGCGGGAAAGCAGAGAATTAAAACTCTTGGGATACGGGCGAAAAAATGAAACTCAAAACTATTTGTGAAATATGCGAATTTGGCTACATATTTTTAAAATAGCTTCCAAAACCCAAACCGATATGAGTAGTCCAATCAAATCGGATATATTAGGAAAACAAACTCAGAAGAAGTGAACGGAAGACGGGGTTGCATTGAAGTCGGTAGAGCTTTTTTTCAGTATTTAACATTTAACATTCGTACATCAATTTTCTCCACATCATCCATATAAAGTCCAACTTAAACTATAACTGAAGCTAGTAAGTCATGCACAACAAATTTCTACATACATACATATGAACAGTTTGTCAAAATAAAAATACTTTTCACACTGAAAAAAATTTTTTTTTTACTTTCCGTGAAACAATTAGAGACTTCTGCTATTATAATGGATTTTTTTTTAGTCCAAAATGATTCCAAATATCTTTTCAGTTAATATCAACGAAAAAACAACAAAATGTCAGCTTGCAAATTTTTGACACTGTCAAGAAAAAAAAGTGAAAAAGAGCAAATACAATATATCAATAAAAATGCTAAGTAAATTATCAAATCGTTAATACATAATTGTAACTAAGTTTTCATACATTCATAGATACCATTTAGTAACGGATGAATCTCTTACTTCAGCTACGGTAATGGATAATATTGTACGTGCAGTGACCGAATTTTCTCCCAAGGTAAAAAGTAACAACGTCAAAGATATGATAATACCTGAACATTTACGGGCCACTGACTGCATGTATAGCAAAAATGATCAACTACTGCTTGAAAAGAGCAAGCTTAATTACGTTCAATTTTATTTTGAACAAGTAGTTTCATCTTCTTGTCCAAAATTTGCGCGATAGTAAATAATAAATAATAACAAGTTACAAATGTTAAAGTAGATTCCAACAACCGTACATACCTCGAATGGGTACCTGAACAACAAGCAGTGGACGGCGATTTTTTCCACAAAATTTTCTTCGGTGACATTGCACATTTCTCGCTCAAAACAGACCAAACATTGTTTTCATTTTACACAAGCTGAAAGGCATGCTTCCCGTAAAAATTAATGATGCCTTAGAAAGCCCTCATATTGGCAGAAAGTTTCGTGTTGGGCAAAAAAGTTACACCACTGAATCCTATGAAATATTTGCTGGTGTTCCACAAGGAAGTGTTTTAGGGCCCGTCTTGTATATAATTTATACGAACGATCTTTCCACAAACCGAAACCTCATAACATTAACTTTTGCGGATGATACAGCAATACTTAGTGTCCATTCGAACCCCATAACAGCCAGTTATAGATTACAAGAACATTTAAAGATAAGAGAAGAGTGGCTAACAACTTGGAAAATTGAAGTCAATTAGTCTAAGTGTACACAAGTAACATTTACCCTAAAAGGGCACATATTCATCAATCTCTATGAATGGGAATACAATACCTCAGAAAGAATTCGTTACCTACCTGGGAGTTACATTGGATAAAAGAGCCCCATAGACAAAAACATTGCTCAAACGAAATTGAAAATTGCGAACTTGCATTGGATTGTATGCTCTAAGTCCAAGCTTAGTCTAGAAAAAAAATTTACTTTTTAAAATGCTTATAAAGCCATTTTGGACGTACGGGATCCAAATTTGGGTCTCACCATCTAAATATTGCCTAGAAAGAATTCAAAGACTGCAGTCTAAAACCTTAAGACCAATATGTAAAGCGCCTTGGTATGTAAAAAACTCCACAATTCACAACGATCTCTGACTTAAAACCGTCACCGAGCATATGGAGAAACTGCTTAAAATTTACTCATTAAGGTTATTTAACTACCCAAACTTTCTAGCTAAAAAGTTATTACAGCAGAACTATCCTAGGCGATTAAAGAGAAAGCATTAACGTTTGAACTGTGACTAAGGGCTCTACCGCATCCAATTATTCTACATTGAAGTTGAGCTCCGCATATATCCTTAATGATAATTATATATAATTTACTTCAAATTATAATATATGATTTATCTTTTGTTAAATTTTAAACATGAGTTTTTGGTATCTTTAATGATATCTATATAAACACATTCTTTGATAAACTTAATTTATTGTACTTTGCTTACTTTGTTAATCTATACAGTGGTAATGATTAACTTGTTCTAGGAATAAGTATTAGCTTTAAGGTTTTCGAAATTATTGTTAGTTTCCAAAAGGAAAGATTCAATACAACATTATCCAAAAAAAAATCGATGGAGTTAGGCGGTGTTAAGTCATCAACGCCATGTGAAAACCATTATATTAAAGATCTTGGGAAACATTAAAATGGTGTAGCTTCAGAAGAACTTACTTTTTTTATAAATGAGCATATATATTTACATACATCGATTACATCTCTATCGAGGTACAACTCTGAAGCACTGTCAGACGAACCGGTTTTTCAGCTTTTAATGTCACGAGAGATCCATACCAACGTTATTTTTTCACAACCAAAACACCAATGGTATGTCAAAACACAGATGGGAAGGTCTACATAAAGTAAGATCGAATCACTCCAAAAGTGCTTAAGTCACTGAATATAGTATTCCGACACATGTAAATCCTTACCGTCATGCAAATTTCACGCACATTTGCTATTATCACCGAACACATTAGAGACATTCACACACTCCACTGCGCCGCGAGAATTACGATGAGCGCTGCTGAATGTTGTATTTTTTATTTATGTTTGTATGTATGTATGTTGCTAGGAATATCATCAAGCAGGATAAGCTTACGGCAAATCCTGGCCTATTAATATGTGTGATTTTTCCGCTTTAGTCTATGCCACGAGTTCAACATTCTTTGCGAGTTTGCAACACGATACAAAACAAAAATGTATCAAAATAAATCACTTCCTGGGGTCTAATTAAAGTTAATCTCTGCAATAGCGTCGAAAGTGAGGGAAAACAAAATAAGAAATTCCTACCAGTAAAAATACCAAGGAATGAATGGAAAACACAAAAAAAAACTTCGGTTAGTGCACAATAAGTCAGCATCACATAAGGAGCATGAAAAAGATTCGAATAAAACAAAATTAAGAGAAAAGTGGCAGTGCGACAATGTGCCAATGATAAGCACACACATACAAATACATTTACATAGGTATACACTCACAGGCATTAGCTAGCAACACATATGGTAATATAAATCCACATATATGTTATGTAGTTGGGAAGTTGGAGCGTACATATGTATGTGTAGTATCAGAACGTCACAAGCCATGAAGCAAGCACAAACTGACATTGGAAACATGTGAAACACAAAAAACGTTAACTTCGCCAAAAGATTGTCTTGGGACATGAGCATAAAACTTTGTCCTTTATCAGTGTCTAGCTGAGCATATATATACTCATATGTACATATGTACTTGTATGTCTTGCACTGGGATTTCAATATCACTGCCAAACCACACTGTCAGCTCGGGTTATACTCATACACACCCTTACATAAGCAGTATTTAGACAATAATTGTTGTTTTTGAAAGAGTTTCAGCGTTGCCAACATTATTAGCCATCTGCCTGTTATTATCGAGCATGTACACACGTCGCCTAGCGAGGAACTCATGTGTATTTTAACAAAAAAAAAAAAAGCAGAAAAAGATGTTTTATACAATATATATAAAAATATCTCATCCAATGAATATCTGATTACAACGGCGGAAACATCAATATGCTTAAATTCTAAATTGATTTAAATTTGTACGCATTATATATGTAAGTATCTGTAAAATATTTCTGCTTGAATCAAATTTAACTAAAAACAACTGAAATGAAAAATTAGGTTTTCGTTACTCAAATATTTGAGAAAATATATATTTTTTTTATAAATAGTCGGCGTCAAGCTTATGTAATAAGCCTGCACAACCTACTCATGTAAAACTCCTACAGGCCTCCAATACTGGGCCCCAAGAGAAAAATTAGCTTTTGATGACGAGGAAACCCCTGATCCTCTGGAGGGAAAGGCCAAATCGCCAGTTGGGTAGATGAAGGCTCGCTGCGCCAGGCCCACACAAAACAAACCCAGCGCACAGGTTAGGAGCCAACACATATCTCGTGCAGGAAATGCATTAGCTCCCCATACAAAATCGTTATCCCAAACTACTAAGCCTTTCAGTGAGGTTGCGAAAGAACCGTTTTCTACTGGAGATATATGTGGATACATATCGTTTAAAATTTTGATGACATTGGTGGTTAAGGCTCATCCAAGCTGGATTATATCCAGGTATTTGTCAGGGGACATGGGCTGGTTCAAAACACGTATTGTGTGTGTAGAAAACTCGTGGCCTGGAGTAGACTTAACGGTAGCGTACTCTAGCAGGTCACGAACCAACAAAACTCTTCAAACCAGAACAGATTCTTCAAATTACCCGGCCTGGCGTATGGAGGATAGTGGAAGTTAGTGATATTAAGAAGAACCAGCGTTTTCGTACAGCTACCGTGGACTTTGGCGAATTTATTAGCAAAGGTTTATACTCCATCGCTGTTAAAGACCATAAGAAGGGTCAGACTTAGTAAGACCATGAGTTGTCTTACTCTACAAATAGCCTAAATGGCAGGGGCCGAAACTGACCCGGATATCGCCAGCAGTGAAACAGAAGTATCACCTGAAACCGAAGGGGCTCTAAGTTCTCTCGGATCAACTGGAAACATGCTGAGTTAACCTGCCTCACTGTTAAATGATAAAACAAGTCTTAACCGCCCTAAGTTAAATTAGGACGAAGCAATAGACTTCCCTACTTTTTACATTTTGTCCAAAAGTCTCGAACAGTAACCAGAAAGATCTGTGGATTACCCCTTCGGGGCAGAGGTTTAAGAATTTTACCGCCGTAAGATATGCCTATCGTAAGAGGCGACTAATATCCCAAAGTTCGCACATAAGTCTGGTATGCCTACCGAAACTACCTGGATTTGTATGCGGCCAAGAACTGTCACTGGCGCACAATTTCTCAAACACAACTACTTTTTATGTATACCAGAGTAGTTTTTAATTCTTCACTAATGCTTTCCATGAATCGTCGAATTCAGTAAGTCGTGCGTATAGCGACCCTTGTAAATTTTGGACAAAAGGAGGGTAACCGCTTGGTTTATTATTTTTTAAAGTCACAATATGGGCATTCACAGATACCAATAATGTGAGTGGGTCCTTACTTCATTTCTTTCCTGGTATCGATCTACTCGTAGATCTGTACGGCAAGTTTCATGCAAGCTTTAAAATATTTAGATTGAACGCCACTCGGCCTTGAAGATCACGAGGTATGGGCTACTCCACACAGCTTCTCTATTTTTGTTTTGAGATTCGTTTCCAGAAAGATACCTGCGAGACAACGAATGAGAATATTTAAATGACGTAGATCAAGGAACAATATCTATTTTTGCAGATGGCTGAACACTCAAAAAAAAAGATAGGATTCGGTATTCACTCCCATTCAAACCGAGCATGAACCGCGGAATGCTTGATTAAATCTACAATCAGCAATCAGCCTATAACTACATACTCCTCCAACCGTGATACCATTATATCTGTTCAATGCATTTTTTCCTCGTCAAAAGCGATATTAGAAAGTAGAAGTTTTCTCAATAGGCTCTCGAGGAAATGCAGCACGACCATCATCTTGGTTCCCGAGTTTAGAGATATCACGGGCAACTGCGTGGGGATCAAACAAGGCACATGCCAGAGAGGCGCAACCTTAACGAATTCAAACCCTGCACAAGATGTAAATATACCTCTTTCTCTAGCAAAATAAATGTTATGGCTGGATTTCACGGAAAATGACAATTGTGGATGGTGTAATGACACGGAATAACAACAGAACACTGCTTATCGTGCACTCACGCTTGAGGAAGTGTCTGTCGAATACTACGTCTGTCACTGTCCTCGACTAAATCGTGAAGCTAACCACAACAGAATTATCAGATGTCATGTTTATCAGAGGCTCGCCCAGGTGAGAAGGACAGTGTATCATACTGAGCTATCAATAATCATTGGGACAAATACTCGTGGTCCCAAAGCGCAAACAAAAAACTTCAATCAGATTTTAACAATATATTTGTAATGTCTTCTTTTAAAAGGCTTCTATAAAAAATATGGCGCTTTGCGCCCTTTGTATTGAAAAATATGAAATGTGACAGAGAAAAAGTGTGCTCTGGGATAAATAGTGGTTA